TATTGTAAAATCCACAGAACAACATTTCATCACGTGCTTTGTTTATCATCCTCTGATATGTCAAACGTGAAATACAGCGATTGGAATGACATGGTACTGAAACTGACACCTTCGACCAGGATTGGCTAAAAGTTTCACAACTGAGGTGTAACGTGGCAAGATGCTGTTTTATAAAGAAAACAGACTAGAAAAAGGTTTAGATACCAATTGCTAAAGTGCAAAGAAAAAATTTTTTTAAATGTTTACAAAAATGTTCTTCCTAGAGGGTGCTTATTTATAGTCTCAAACGTATTTGGGATTTTTTTTTTATTAAATTTCTCTTTAAACTTCATTAAATAATACAATTTTGTACAAATAATTGAATGATATGCTACTATTTACAAAAATAAAATCTGAAATAGATTAAAAGATAAGTTCTCTATAATTTTTTCAATTCACAAATGTGATTTTACCTTCACGATAAGACAAGATAGCCCTGGTAGGTAAGGGGTTAAAACCTGTAACATTTAGATTTATCTTTTTAATTAAAATGCAAAGTTTTCCCTGTCCAAGATAACATAAAATAGAAAATATGATCATAACTTACTGGAAACATGCTTTCTCGAGTGGAGAGGTTTAACTCATTCAGAAAACGCTGTGTCATTTTCAAGGCAGTTTTTAGTGTCTTGTAGTCAGGGTGGGATTCAGGTGCATAGCGTAAGAGATCCTAATGAGATATCAATCAAACTATGTAGGCATTCTACTTAAAAAAATTTATATAAAAAAAATGTTTCTTAATGCTACACATTATAAACTTGCAGACACTTATAATATTTCTCTACTATAGTGAAATACAATTATTAAAAAGAAAAAAATGCCAAACTATTTTCACTGTACTCAGAATTTCATTTACAAATTACCAAAAAAAAACTACAAAGTTTGTAAAAAGGTTTTTCATACAGAAAGTTTCCCAAAGAATCTTGAAATGACAGAAGTGAAACTTAATAAGTAAAATGTTGCTGTGAAATTTATTCTAAACCTTTTACAACTATAAATTTCTCTAAAGAGTCATCACAATTACCTATCAACAATAAGAAAATAATATTCATACCTATTTAAGTTCTAGTCCTAAATTTTACACTTAGAGAATAAGAAACTGCTTTAAACCAGAAACAAAAAATTGTAAACAACACAATCAGTCAAGTATGTGAATGTTGAGAACATACTTACATGTAATACCAAAGCATTTTTCTGTACCCTTGCTACAGGTTTATGAAGAAGATCTGCGGGAAAGTAATATTTGTAACAAATTTGCTTTACCTTAATTTTTACACAATGAAAAAAAAACAGAATGCATAAAAGTGAACATATATTAAATTGAACCCCTAGAAGAAGAGCTATCTAAAATAAGACCTATTGCTAAATGTTGCTTATCAGAAGAGGCTGCACATTAAATGTATGCTTTCATTTCACTAAAGCAAACAAATTGGTAAGCTTTTTTAATTGTTTTAATTTCTGAAAAAACCATCTCTTGAAATATCTTAGAAGACATTTAGTGTTCTGAGAAACCAGTCTGTTCTT